ATATGTAGGAATCATAGACAAGGAAAAGTCAGCAAACTGTAATGACATTCATCTTACCCACACGAATAGAAAATGCTCGGAAAATACAGGTAGTTTCTCAAGTACACGGTCGACGTTATGCCTGAGATTGTAATCAAGTTTGAATGTTAACATTCAAATGTATATTAACGATTTTGACTACAGTAATTCAATTGCCTCAAACATGTTCTAACCTCATCTTTGAAGACCAAAGGGCAACAACAAAATTGTCGACACAAAATTGCATAAATTCAATAATCCTCTTCTGAGGACAACATCTACAACATGAAGAAATGAGATTAAAGTTCTACGCTTATATGTTAAAATAATGGATACAAAAGAATAGAATTAAAACCTGCCGGCAGTCTTGGGATGTAGGCAAGGACACCATTGAGATCAAAAATTAAAAGTTTTCTTGAAGGCGGCGTTGCAGACACGATATACTTGTTTGGATCATCATCTTCATCATCATCATCTTCATCATCTTCATCGTCATCATCATCATCATCGTCATCTTCATCGTCAGCTTCATCTTCTGCGACCGATTGGTTGTCCACATCTGTTAAAGAAAATAAAATAAAGTTCAGAACGTGTAAATGTTAAGAAACATAGATAATGAATTACCTAACTCGTTTGATGTCGTTGACGTAATTCGTTACGCAACATGGAGACTTCACGTTGCAATGATGAAATATCGGATCGCATTCCACTCACAAGGGAATCAATATGCTCCCGAAAATTGACCATGTATTCCATCACGGTCTTAATTGTGACATCCTCTGCAACTGTTGCTTCTTCCATCATTGCGTCTCCACTTGGTTGCTCTTCTTCATGGCCAACGGGGTCCATTTCCTCCCTCTCTTGATCTAATCCGACCTCCTTGACACGCTTCCAACCGAGTTTTTCAACAAAATCATATCCCCTTTTTTAATAAATACCATGTCAATCTTGCGGGTTAATCGAACAGGGGCGTCATGCGAAAAATCAACTTCCTTCTTCTTCAACAGATGGGTGATGACACATCCATATGGTATGTAGTTGAAATTGTTGCTCCCTTTGTGACCATATATACAATTGTATTAAATATGAGTTTTGCAATGTTTGGAGCCGTTTTGGATTTATACTTTGCTATCCACCAATAATCGCTGTCTCGAAGCGTTGAATGTTTTTCCCCCACTAGGCCGGATATACCATGTGAGCATTTTGTGAAACACTCTCGACTCTACATCGAGGTGAATTGGGCTATTTCTAGTAACCCGTTTAATTGTAGACCAATCTACACCATTTTCATCTGAATCCCCTGTATTCGCTACACCTAAACCCTCCGCAATAGTTTCTGGAGATATATATATATCCTTCCCCATGACATGTGTATTAATTCCTATTATATTAGTCTTATTAGGCTCGTGCTGTAAGGAAGCATTGTTGTAGAAGACTCTAACTAGGTTGGGATAATATCTTGGTTCTACACCAAGGAATTCAAGCCAACCCCAAGATGTAAATGTGGATTTAAAACTAAATGCATATTTATCATCAAACAAGAACCCAGGTCAATGACACGTTCGGGACGAATCTTCCTTACTTTAAAACTCGTCTGCCATCTTTGTTTCTCCATGTCGGATCTAAAGTTCAGAGTTTCGAAGGACCTGATTTCCTCAGAAGAATCGTTTGTTACAGAGGAGGTGGTTGAGAAGAACTGGGTTGAGAAGAGCTTTGAGAAAGACCTCGCTTCTGACGCTGACGTTTTGGAGCCATTTTGGTTGGATGTACCCCTATTACAATGGAACACAAACACATTCAGGATAAAAACTCCAATATAGAAATCAATCAAACCCATAAAATATCGATAAATTTACCTGAATATCTGATCGTCACTTATGATAACGGTAGAAGGAAGAAAGAGGAGAGGAAGATCTGCCTGCTTGCATTTATGTTTAGGGTTTCTCGATTAAGAGTACTATATAAACGGGGAAAACACTTGATATTTAAATTAGTATCGACACAAACTATATTAGTGTCGACACATTATTTAGACTTATTCTCTCATAAAACCGGTATAATTGTACCGGTTAGATTAAAAATTACATATTACATTATACTTTTGGGTTCGATGATTTGGGATCGACACTTTTTATATATGGATCGACACTTTATGGGTGCACCTTGTTTTTAATTCATTCTGGGAAAAAAATATCGACACAAACTATATTAGTGTCGACACATTATTTAGACTTATTCTCTCATAAAACCGGTATAATTGTACCGGTTAGATTGAAAAATTACATATACATTATACTTTTGGGTTCGATGATTTTGGGATCGACACTTTTTATATATGGATCGACACTTTATTGATGCACCTTGTAAAAATTCATTCTGGAAAAAAATATCGACACAAACTATATTAGTGTCGACACATTATTTAGACTTATTCTCTCATAAAACCGGTATAATTGTACCGGTTAGATTAAAAAATTACATATTACATTATACTTTTGGGTTCGATGATTTTGGGATCGACACTTTTTTATATATGGATCGACACTTTATGGGTGCACCTTGTTTTTAATTCATTCTGGGAAAAAAATATCGACACAAACTATATTAGTGTCGACACATTATTTAGACTTATTCTCTCATAAAACCGGTATAATTGTACCGGTTAGATTGAAAAATTACATATTACATTATACTTTTGGGTTCGATGATTTTGGGATCGACACTTTTTATATATGGATCGACACTTTATTGATGCACCTTGTAAAAATTCATTCTGGAAAAAAATATCGACACAAACTATATTAGTGTCGACACATTATTTAGACTTATTCTCTCATAAAACCGGTATAATTGTACCGGTTAGATTAAAAAATTACATATTACATTATACTTTTGGGTTCGATGATTTTGGGATCGACACTTTTTTATATATGGATCGACACTTTATGGGTGCACCTTGTTTTTAATTCATTCTGGGAAAAAATATCGACACAAACTATATTAGTGTCGACATTATTTAGACTTATTCTCTCATAAAACCGGTATAATTGTACCGGTTAGATTGAAAAATTACATATTACATTATACTTTTGGGTTCGATGATTTTGGGATCGACACTTTTTTATATATGGATCGACACTTTATTGATGCACCTTGTAAAAATTCATTCTGGAAAAAAAATATCGACACAAACTATATTAGTGTCGACACATTATTTAGACTTATTCTCTCAAAACCGGTATAATTGTACCGGTTAGATTAAAAAATTACATATTACATTATACTTTTGGGTTCGATGATTTTGGGATCGACACTTTTTATATATGGATCGACACTTTATTGATGCACCTTGTAAAAATTCATTCTGGAAAAAAAATATCGACAAAACTATATTAGTGTCGACACATTATTTAGACTTATTCTCTCATAAAACCGGTATAATTGTACCGGTTAGATTAAAAATTACATATTACATTATACTTTTGGGTTCGATGATTTTGGGATCGACACTTTTTTATATATGGATCGACACTTTATTGATGCACCTTGTAAAAATTCATTCTGGAAAAAAAATATCGACAAACTATATTAGTATCGACATGACCCTTAATGTGTATAAGAAACATGTACAACAACATACTGCTAACTTTTCTCATCTCATTCATAATTATATTCACATAAAAAATATAAATCGTATACAAATTATAAATCGTATACAAAATTATAAATCTTATACAAAATTAACTCGACATTTACATCATTGCATCCTTTTGTTATTCTTATGTAATATTGCGGCTTTTGTTATCTCCTGTCTTCGTTCATTTTGATTGTGGCTTACGAGATCATTTAATACTCGCGATCGATCCCAGTCTCCAACAACCTATATTCAAATTGTCAGAACGTTAAGTATTGTCAACTACAGCATTCAATCTACGACTTTTAACAATTTTACCACAAACAATTTTTTCTATCCACTTACAAAATCACCAGTTGCCCCTGTAGAACCGATCGATTCCATCCACATCATCACATACATGCCGCAATCATATCTGTTACAAAATTTGAAAACCACACATGTCAATTATGATGAATACTGCATAAATTAAGCTTTCTATTTGTGATAACATCTCATACCCATTCAATTGCTTATTCTTCTTATGCTCCACAAATTTGAAGTTTTTCAAGGGATACTTTCCTAGAGATCCACATGACTCAACCCAAATGCGTTTCTTATTATAAGAATCTAATATTTTAATCTGCATTAAAATAGAAGAAGTTATGCACCAAAAAAATTATGCATTATAATTTACATAATGTCCTTTCATACATACATACATACATACCAATCTCTTAGCATCCTTCACTCTCTGTTTAGCTGCTTCAGTTGTAAACATACTATCATATATTGTTACAACATGATCTACCAATCCAACACCAACAGATACCAGTGTGAATTATGGTAGTTTATTGTGATCATTATCTGCAACAAATTCACACCCAATTTGACAAAATTCAACATTCTATATCCGAAAACATCATTTGCAATTGGTATGGTGTCTTACCTTCTCACAGTCCTGAATTTCACATAGTTATCCAATATGACACCCCAGAAGGTAGAAATTCTCAACACTTTCTTTATTGTTGGCTTCCAACGCCTGTTGCTGTAATTACGCAACAAACATTATTAATTTACCGTCTATAACACTACTTTTCAATATTATTAATTTAACTCACCACTAAGAGGTATGGAAGGTAGCCAATCCTCCGGTGTGACTTTTGAGAATCGTAGCATATGGTCCAGGCGAGCAAATCGATAACCTAACAAATTAATTACACAATCAGAACATATTCAATAAGTTTTTATTTTTTCTACTTTCTACTTACCACACCGCCAACCCATTCTGTAGGCTTCAACGTTGCAACGTCGTATACAGTAGCGAATTGATTTCCCATTGATATTACAGAATATCTGTATGAATCATTAGGATTAATATCTTGTCATGAAATATTTAAATATCACTCACAAAACAATATATTTCACTTACCCCGATTCTAACTCGCTATTCCATAAATAATCAAATTGCAGCTTCGATGTCATCAATTCCAGTTGGAATGTCCGCTTTTTCAACCTACAATTTTGCATACAAATTTTTGTCACAACAACATAATAAAATCAAATTAAGTATTCTTTTATTAAACTTACCTTCTGCTTCTTCTTCTGGGGTGCAGGACATTCCGAATCCAAAACTGCTGCTATGACACTCTCCGGTGTATAAAGCACATTGGCCTCTCCTTCCTCCTCATTTCTTCCATCTCTTCTTCTTCCTCCTCCCTCTTTTCTTCTTCATATTTTTTCAGTTCATCGTACTTTTTTTCTACATAGCTCTTCATATCTTTTATTTCACCTTCAATTGAGCTCCTTCATCCGAGTATTTATCAACCACCCCCTTCACCCCCGTAAGTTCACTCCTCAAATCAACAACCTCCTTCACCACTCCCTCAAATTTTTCTCCGTCACCATCTTAATATCACCCCTTAACACCGAAACTTCTTTCACCACTTCACCCCTCAACACCTCTACTTCTTTCACCACTCCATCTTTTTTCCTTCCACTACCCCTTATGCCTCTCGAGTTTCTCTACGACTTGATCAAGTTTCTCTTCGACTCTTGATTGTCTTTGCATGATTTCAAATTGGATTTTTTTGATATCAGCCAATTCAGACATCAAAATGTCGAAGTTACTCTGTTTTGCTTCACCGTCGTCCCACTCACCTTCATCCCCCAATACAACCATCCCTCCTTTCTTCTCCTCTGCCTCCACTGCCTCCTCTACATCCTTGCCAATACCTTCAAAAAATTAAATTACAATATTAAGACATTGATTATATTCTTAATATTATTAATTACATTTATTACATTTCTTGCTTCTTCCCTCTATCCAACTTCAACTTCACCATCACTCTAACCACCTCTTCCTTCCCCCATGCACGGATGCGTGCCACTCCGGTTCTTTCATAAGCCGGCACTGCCTCACAGCCCGACCAAAAATCGAACAGTGCAACCTGCATTTATAATAAAATTAGAATTTTTATATAAAAACACAAAAAGTGATTCAACTCATTTACCTCTAAGATTGCTACCCTTTGAGGTATCTCTGGCTGCCCTTTTTAAAGGTGATAATTGATTCAATCAATCTCGAATGGATATATTCAGCCCAATTGAATTCACCTTCAAGCCTTCATCGCAAATGAGCTTCATATTTCCTTGTTCGTTGACGTATCACCCGTTGGACAAAGAAATATACCGACAAGGTACAATAGAACTCGGGCCTTCAGCTCATCCCCCAAGTAAGATCCACTTTTGATATCCTCTTCAACTTCAGTATATGTCACCTTATGATTCAAACCATATTTGGAGGCAAGTGCTTTCCAGTTCTTACTCCTACAGACTTCTATACACTTTTGCCTTTGTTTTGTACCCCCAATACGGCTGCAGCAGTCGATACCCCCAGAGGGAATGAATAATCACCATACTTAGCCATACATTGACTGACGTCAAATTGTGCCATCAAGGATCGACACAATTCCCTCCGAATAGGTCGATCCCTTACTCCGATCAACGATCCAAAACCTATTTCTCCCAGCACATTCAACTGACCCTTCTCCTTAAGGTGTTTAATTAATAAATTCACCCTTTTAATGCTGCATCTTGTCGAAACTTCCTACATTTTTTAACAATATATAATGTTATAGTTCTTATATTTTTGTATCAACGTATTTACAAGTTTAATGAATACCTTATTTTCATGTGCTTTCCTCCGTTCTTTGTATTCTTTACTATCATTCCTTGACTGTGTGATGTAAGGTTCCTTTTCAGCATCACTCATTGAATTCCATTTGGACTCACATCTTTTTCACCTAATATTAAACATAAACGTTTCTTAATCAATACATTAACACTAAATACTAATACTACTCAATGTCAATTTCATTTTACATACCGAACCGCTCTGTGTGCCATCTCCCTTCATCCTTTTGCATTCGGCCATACTGTTAACATTTAAAATTTGTAATCAATTTAAAGTTTATCGATACTTTAATCCAATTACCATTTCAACAATAATAACAAAAAGACATTGATACTTACTAGAAGTACATATCCACCCTTTGGTTGCTTTCGAGTCTCGGCCTCAATTTCAAGTCATCTGCTCCACCAACAATTTTCCAACCCATTGACTCCATTTTTCCTTCATATATCAGTTTACGCAAATCAAATTATTTTGTTACATACACTTTTCAATATACAAATATAGATAACTACTCTTGTGGTAAAACGGTTTTCTTCAAAAGAATTTGAATGGCCACACCAAAATGTGTCGGCACATTTATACACCTATATCATTCTACCTATAATATTTAATAAAGTATCGACATTTATCGTTTTCCTTGAATATCTATTTCTACCTGCAATCGGTCCCAAATGCTTCCTTACTCCAAAACCCCAAACAACATAAAAAACCCTATCGCGATTACTGTAATAATAAAAAATTAGGGTTTCGACAACATACTTTTCGATTCGACTGCAGCAACAAACAAACAAACTTCGCTTTAGAAACGCCTTCTGAAATGCAGCAACAATTACTCTTCGATTTCAAAAACTCGTCCGTTCTATCTATTTTCAGAGGATATTTAGCTTATATTTTCATCGGATATGTTATTTATATTTAATCGATACAATACAAAAGTGTCGATACTTTTATGTCAGGTGTCGATACTTTCGAAAGGATAATTACCTATTTCTTTGAAAGTGTCGATAATTTATTACACGTACTTACGAAAGTATCGACACTTTCAATATATCCGGTATCATTTTACCGTTTTATCATTTTGATACCGGTTTTATCATATTTTTACCTGTTATATCGTTGTGGATCGATATTTTTTTTTAAAGTATCGACACATTATAGGCGCTATAACTGCTTCTCTTTTAAATTCACAAAGTGTCGATCCTTATATAACGTATCGACACTTTTAATTTTACCGGTTTTATCATTTTGTTACCGGTTTTATCATATTTTTACCTGGTATATCGTTTTGGATCGATATATTTCTTAAAAGTATCGACACTTTTTAGGATTTAAAACTGCTTTTAAAGTTATGTAATTTATGTTTCAATTTATTAATAGTGTTTTATGTTTTCCACCTACAATATTAATTTAATAATTTAATTTACACAAATTTTATTTGATTGTTTTGATAGTTTATAAAATATTATTTAGAATTTAAATTTAACAATATTAACCAAATATAATAATAAATATGTTTTCAACAGTGAAATAAGTATGGACACTTTTATAAAAATGATATATACTTTTTGAAAGTTATGTAATTTATGTTTCAATTTTTTTAATAGTGTTTCATGTTTTCCACCTACAATTAATTTAATAATTTCATTTACACAAAAAATTATTTGATTGTTTTGATATTTATAAAATATTATTTAGATTTTAAATTTAACAATATTAACTAAAGATAATAATAAATAATATTTTCACAGTGAAATAAGTATGGACACTTTTATAAAAAGGATAGATAATTTACAATATAACAGGTAAAAATATGACAAAACCAGATTCATTATGACAAAACCGGTAAAATTTACTTGATATGTTAAAAGTATGGACACTTTTATAAAAAGGATAGATACTTACCGATAACCAAAGTTTACCGGTTACCAAATTTTTTAATAGTTTTTCATATTTTCTACCTAAAACATTATTAGTTGTCAACATAATAGGTACCGCTAAACCGAATTTATTAAATACATTTTAATGTATCCGGTAATGCTGTATATTAGCCGTATATTAACCCGCCTTTCCTGAGACATTCCCGGGAATAGTCTGTGTGCACACCAACCAAACAAGGGAGTTGGGTTCCCAAAAAAAAATCATTATCAAGCGAAACAATTTTATTTGAAATTGTATTATCGTAATTAATTAACGAAAAAATTATTATTAAATAATAATTTATTATTAATAATAATATTTTTTTATAAAATTTAAAAAAAAATCGTTACCTTTAAATTTTTAAGTTATTTTTATATTTTTATTAAATAAACTAAACAATATAGTATAACATTTCAAAAATAATGTTACAATAATGTAACATTACGTGAACCATTTGCCCCCAATAGTATTTTGGATAAATTATATATTTAGTTATTCACTTATTTTTTACAATTTTATTTTGGTCACTTAATTATTTTATTTTTTAAAATTATACTTAATGTTACATTTTTATTTTATTTTGGACACTCTTCATTAAAAAAAATTAACATTGATTTTGATGTGTCACTATAAGATAATGTCACATCATTAGTGAAATAAAAAAAATCTTACAGCAACAGTTCTGTTTATTTTTTTAACGACATAAATAGATTGATAACTAAATACAATGTTTATCCTAATATTGTTTTCCTCTAAAAGAAAAAATGTTAGAATCCCTTTTACCTGTACATGTGAAACGATAGTTGTGTGAGGAAAAAAAAACTCCCATAAAGCTTCTATTGGGATAGAAAGCAATGGGAAACCCTATCTGAAGATTGTATTGATGCTTGAAACTATGATTGCTATCGTATCTCACACTGGCTTCATGCAGTATGTCACTAAATTAGGGTGGTTCTGCTTCACGACAACTAATTTAGGATGTTTTAAATTTAAAATGTTATCATGTCCAACTTAAAAAGTTATACAAATATATAACATTTTCAATTGTAATCGAAAAATATACATTACAATGATTTGAATTTACAACCGAAAAATTATACAATTTATAACATTTTCGGTTGTAATTGAAAAATATTACATTAAGGCACACTTTTGGGCTTACAATAAAAAAATTATACAAATTTATAACATTTTCAGTTTAAAAAATATATTTTAAACTCTTCCTATTAATTAAATTTAAGTTTTGGGTCTAAGTTTTATTGTTTTTA